TTGAATGATGTTGGTAGTTCCCGACGTTCACCAGTTATGGAAAGATCAAACTTTTTTGACAAATAAAGACCAGGATCAACAATTATCGGCTTTGCCCTCTGGTTTCTGAGTTATTTCCAAACAAAAATATAAGTAAGAAATTCAATAAAACTGTAATTGGAGCAGTATTTTGTGTAGCTTACACTTTCCACCCAGTACTCTGAGTGTGTTCGATGAAATTAAGATCCCTAGGTAGTGAAGAGAAAACATGAAGTATATCTGCAGAGGACATCAGAATATGATTTAAGTGAAGAAAGATAAAAAATAGCTATATTAGGAAGATAATGCTTGAAACATATTAATGTAGAAGTTGAGCTTTAGCAAGCAATATTTGGTATCCCCTCTAAGCTGAATACTACAATATACAAATACAACACTTTACACTAACTAACAGTTCAAAGTGCTCAAAATTCCAAAACACCAGCTATGATGAACCATAATATACATATCAAGGTTTGATGACTTTGTGTGGTCATTCTCTTGGGACTTTGGTTTTAGTTGTTTTCTACTGAAGGTTGAATAAATTTCGTCTTCTTAATGTATAAAAAGATCAAAATATATACTAATAACAACTTCTTAATCGTGGGAATATAAGACCAGCAAACTTCTGAAGTTTGCTGACATATCCTCAGGTTCTTATTTCATTACAAATGCTAAGGTTCATCACTAGAGAGACATAAAAAGATCTTCCGCAGCAAGATGATTAGAAATAACATCTTAATCAGCAACTAGTCTTCATCTCATATCTATGAGGAGAATCGTATGATCATCTTAAAATCTTAAGAAAGAGTTTGCAGCTCAAAATGAAAAATGCTGAAAAAGAAATTGAGGTTTGATTAAAGGTGATATTTCCAGACATGTGCTATACAATATGGATTAGTTTCTAATATATAGTGGCATGATGAATGTGACAATTACAGCCTATGTTGCACTAATACAAGTGCAACTACGGGTGCGGATAAGGGACACAGACAAATTTGTAGAAGGTAGGATACGAGTACACAACTATTTATATATTGAAATTAATAATTTTTATGAGATCAATATTGTTTTTTATTCAAATGTTATGAGAACTAATATTCCTATAATATATTTAGTTTCTTTTATTACATAGATTACAAACTGAAAAAACACTCGTTTTTGACCTAGATGCCTAAACCAGTGTTTTCAATGCGCGAGGCGCAATGCGGGGCGCAAAGTCAGTTTACGCGCACATGCGCAAGCCAGTGTTTTCAATGCGCGAGGCGCAATGCGGGGCGCAAAGTCAGTTTACGCGCACATGCGCAAGGCGCAATGCGATGCGCGCGCCCGAGCGAAAGTCAGTTTACGCGCACATGCGCAAGGCGCAATGCGATGCGCGCGCCCGAGCGAAGCGAGGCGCACTCTAGACCAAAATTTTGAAGATATACAAGATGCATGGAAAAAATAAATTTTTAAAATTTCAAATAGAAAATGTGAAGGACTCAAGATAAATAATATAGTATATAGATTTAGTGAATTAAAGTATTAAACTTGTACGTTAATTTTCATTCAATCATGCAAATTATTCTAACTTTCATACTAGTATATTGCATCACTAACAACTATATTGCTAAATTTTATTTTCCTCTTTACAAGTTACAAATGGTGAATCAAGTTTCAACTAATAGCACTCCACCTAGCTCAAATAGCAAGCAAGAATCAATACTCAGTCTCGCACACGAAATCAAATAATAGCACTAGTTCATAATATCATGACTCATATTAAGCCAAAGAAAAAAACAGTTAACAGTCAAGAGCGATAATAATAATAAAATTTAATCAAGAACTAAGAGCTAGGAAGAGTAAGTTAGTTAACATTAAATCTCTCCATCTCTTTTTAAGTCTATAACTAATTACTCAAGTTCCTCTCTCTTAACAATTAACAGTCAAGACTCAAGATAAAAATCTCATTAATTTCTCGGTTAACAATTAACAATCAAGAACTTAATTAAGGACAAACAAATAACAACTCACTCTTAACTGTTTACACTTAAAAAAGGGGAAAAAAAAGGAAAACAAAATAAAAGCTGTCGAGTGGAGAAAAAAGAAAAGAAAAGAAAAAAAAATCTGAAGAGAAAAAAAACATCGCTTAAGAGAAAAAAAAAATAAAACAAAGAGAAAAAAACCTGCTTTTCAATCTGTCGAGTGAAGGGAAAAAAAAGAAAAGAACGCACCTGAAGAAAAAAAAAACCTGTCGAGTGGAAAAAAAAGGAAACAAAAGCTGTCGAGTCGCTTAAGAGGAAATAAAAGGAAAACATCGCTTAAGAGAAAAAAATAAAAGCTGAAGAGAAGACAAAACGAAAAGAAAAAAAAAGGAAAGAAGGATCATAAAAACATCGCTTAAGAGAAAAAACAGGAAAACAAAATAAAACAAAGAGAAAGGAGAAGAACACACCTGTTCGTCGTCGTCGCCGCTCGCCGTCACCATCGATTGCCGCTCGTCGTCGCCCGTCGCCCGTTCCCGCTCGCCTTTGCTGCTTGCTGCTGCCGAGTGGAGAACGCAAGGAGATCGGGAGAAATAGTGGAAGAAGCAGCGAAGAACCCTAACATCTCTTATCGGGTTTAAGTGAGAAGCGGGTATACCCAATAACCGCCTGAATAATATTGCGATTCTGCCCTTTTTTCTCAAGCGCGCGCATGGTCGAAGGCGGCAGGCGATGCGGGGCGCTCCCCAGACGTGCGCCCGACGCAAGCGTAGCGCCCCGCATCTGCTGCGGGGCGCTGTGCCACTGCGTCGAAGCGCTTCGCGCCTGAGGCGCGCGCCTTGAATCGCCTTTAAAATCACTGGCCTAAACAATCCTTTAACATCATATTTCTGAACTGGGCAGTGGGCATAGCTTGAAACAAACCCAACCCTTGTTCAACGAGTCACAAAAAGTGGATGTGAGTGTAAGGTATTACTCCAAGAAGTGTATGATGTGTGATTTAAAAATTAAACATATATTAGACTATTGAGTACACATCTGATAAATGTATGCGAATATTCAAGAAGTGTCGAAGTCGGACACAGGTCAGAAAGAGTCGGACACGAGTATGGTAACTCAAGAGGTGTCGGGGTAACTTAGGTTATAGTACAATTAAATTGATCAAGATCACCATCTATACAAGTAACTGATTGAGAACATTTGACCACATCGAATCCATCTAGGCTAGTGGAGTCTGTTTAGGTGGATATTAAGGCACAGAACCAAGTAAAGCAGCCTAAGCGTCTAGATGGACTATAGGAGACCACCATGTCAGTTGCTGAAAATTTATGAATAAAAAAAGTAATTACCAGTCAAACCTTGAATCGGAGGCTCTAGGCAGAATCACATACATTAGCCCTACAAATTTCCACTTATTTTCTGATGTGGAATATAAACTGTTAACAATGTTGCCAACCCATAAGTCTTCCAGCCAGATGGTTGACTACGTGTTTTCAATGTGATCCAACCTACATAACACTTTATCCTTGAGTTGAAGAAAAGTTTTGATGATGTGTGGGGATTCCGGATACCAACTTTGATTCAAAAGGTTATCTGTTAGGACTTGAACACAATGATATGACAATATGTATATCAACACTTCATGATTCCACAAATTTTTTTATATGCACGCCAACTAGTTTAAAAAGTACGTTGTTAAGTACTATTTCGGTGATTGTTAACCAAACGCAGAACATGAACCCAGCACATGTGCATTTGGTATGTTTTCAGAAAATGGTACTTATAAAAGGATATCATGTTTTGCAGCTCAAACCATGCTGCTTTTATCAGATTCTTTGCAGAGAAAAATATTTCTTGTTTGTAGGCTTTTACTTCCTTTGTTTCTTTCATTTGCTCTATGAGTTACGGAAGGGATTCTTGTGAGTGTGCATGTGGTGGGTCTATGGGTGCAGAGATGGTGGTTTTTTTTGTATTGCTTTCTCTGTTGTTTTGGGAGATATATCTAAATCAAGAAATCAATACAATTTTGGTACTTGCACAATGTAAGTCTGGCATCTGCACACCGCATATCAGGCTAATTGGAAAGAACAATAATAATGAAATTGCATTCTTCAATATGTTCCACTATTGTTTTAACTTTGTTCGAGTTAAGTGATTCATAACCCTTCCAGTGACCATTCAGAAATGCTATTAGAAATAACAAAAGATCTTCATCCTCTTTAACTCTCTCAACTAGTATCCATATTAGGGCATGAGATTCACATAGTGAAAACTGAAAATTAACAAGTATCTCTACTTAAACAGGACAAAATAGGACCATGTTTCTGTTAGAACAGAAATTTGGATGCAAACATATTCTGTTTCAAATTTAACAGCATTTGCATTCTTAGATACTAATCCTGTAAGGGGCTGTTTGGTTCGTTTCCTTGATATAGAGAAATACAATTCCATGTAAAAAACACAAGTTTTGAGTTTTCCAAACTTTTTCAAGAAATAGATTGTTTTGCTTTGGTTCGCACATAAAAAATGGTGGGAAACCAATGTATTTATTTTTCTTGTGTTTGGTTCGCATAGAAAAAAAAAGAAAAACTTTTGTAAACAAAGCAGAGAAGGAAAAAAATCTGACGTGGCAGAGTTTTCATCAATTTCACTTGGTTGGGGAAGGAAACCGGAGAGGGAAAAAAATCTTAGTTGGCGGCGATTTCAGCAGAGTTTTCCCTCTTCCATTCGAGCGAACCAAAGCGGCATAAAGAAATGGACGGAAACAAAAAAGCTGACGTGGAGGGCTAAAAATCTGACGTGGAGGGGTTTTCTAAGTTTTCCACCACTTATAATAGCGAACCAAACAACCCCTAAAAGTCCGAAAATTTTTGACAAGAACATCATATACCTGAAATCTCAAAAGCTGAAGTCCTAGTATAACAGTATTAGTAAGAGCCACATATCTAACGTTGGATGAAAATAAGACACAGGACATTGACATGTAATTAACGGATCTATAATAGCTTAAAGGGCAGAAAAATAAAATTAAAAGTTTGAGATAAGTACGCACCATCTTGTGTCATAAGAGGATAATCCGAAGCGCTCAGATTTATAAACCAATCCCACTTTGCACTCTCCTTCAACAAAATTGCAATAGCATGAAGAGTACAAGCAATCATAGTCGGCCCCTTGTACGTAACCAAATTCGCCTTTGCAATCACCCTCACATTCTCCATCTCGCTAAACACCGGATCACTCCTAACATACATAGCCAAATCAATCCTCTCTCTCGGCGGTGCTTCCAAATCTAAATGCAAAATATACTGATTTCTCGGATGGTATATAGCCTGCAATGTTCTTCTCATTCTCAAGCTGTCCCCCTTTGTTCCGGTGATAAGATAAGCTATCCTCGGCGGCTCCGATTCCAAAACTGGATTCTCATCCAAAGACTTCATAGGGTTTGAATCCAATGCATACCCATCAGAATCATCCAAACCAGTGAATGAAATTATATCCAACGACAATGAATCTCCATTGGACTGAGGTGAGAAAAGCCCAAAAACTGTGGCTAAGAAGAGGGTTAGAGATACCATTAAGCTAGCAAAGAAGGGGAGGAGCCATCTTTTGTCACTAAATGGTCTCCCTGAGTGGTTTCCCCCATTTTTCCTCATAATTCTTTGACACCCAGATTCAAATAAATCATTTACAGCATTAACCTCTTGAAAAACAACACCAAAAATTAAACATGGAGACCAATTTCAGCTATAATCTCTGAACCCAGACGCCAAAATCTCAACTTTAGCAAGCAGAAATGAACAGAATCACTTCAGATGATAGTTCTGCTTAATGGGTCGGACGGAATCAGGGGAAAAAATTCAAAGATTCTGAACAAAAATCAGTGAATAAACAAATTCAGAGCACACAAAGCGTGGGAAATCACAATTTATAAGGGGAAATAAAATTCAAAGTTTAGAATAAAATAGTAACTCAAAGAGCAAGATTGAAGATATACTTACAGTGTAAACTAAGATCTAGTGAAAATTTTCCAAAATGGGCACGAATTTTAGAGCAGATAGAGAGAGAGAGGGGGGAGAGGGGGGGAGAGAGAGAGAGAGGCAGAGGTCAGTACGAAATGGTTGAGCCGAAGATGCTGGTGCTTAAGGTGTTTGGTAATAAAAATGGGCGCTTTATCAGTTTAGGGGGTGCTTTAATAATTTTTTTTAGAGAAAATGAAATAATTACAGCTTATGGGATCAACCATCAATAAATTAATCTTATTTGATGGTTTATTGTAGCTTACTTTATCATTCACGTAGGCAAAGTTTGTTTACTGTAATCCGGACGATAAAGGCTAGAGCACCTCCCAGGTTACCAATATATGAAAGTAGAAGGGGGACCCACATTAGACTGGAAATTATCATGGACGGAGTAGATAATTAGGAGCTGTTTGGTTCATTTACATAAAATGTTTTATGGAAATGAATTCTCCCACAAGAAACCATATTAAAAAATTTTTTTTAGGATATTTAAGGAATTCAAAACTTGTGTTTGGTATGGAATGATAAAGTAAAGAGTAGGAAAGCATATCTAAAACTCAAGTTTGTTTCATTTCTAAATAATAAGTAGAGTTGTGAGAGGAAAATTGATGAGTTGTCAGCGGGTTTGTCAGCTTTCTAGCACATTTCCTAGCCAAAAGATAGGAAATGTGCTGTCCAAAAAAGTCACTGTTTAGAGGCTTTTTAAGAAATCTTTTCTTGAAATTTTTTTTGAAACAAACCCAACTTTTGGAATCCTAAAATGGCAAAAAACCTACTTTTTATTCCAAATCCTAAAAAAAACACAATGTTTCTAATAATTTAGGGTGAACCAAACACACCTAGCGAACCATGAATTAGGAGGAATTAGTAAGGGTGGACTATCATTTTAATTTTGTTTATTTTTATTTATCTTTTTTATGTGTTCAAGAGAGTGCTCTTAACTTTTGTATACGGTCATAAAAGATACATTGAAACATTGATACTAATTTTCATAATAATTTAATAAATTTAATAATAATTTATCATCAGCAGATGAGATTTCTGATAATGGAAGAAACATTTGACGTGATATTAGAATAATTCAGATTCAAAATTTTTCATATGTGCATTTAAATTGAAATTTAAAATATTAAGAATTTAATTTGATTTAAAATGCCGAAACAAAAGGGAGATTTGTGAGGAAAACTAGAATATAGGGTTCAAAAAATAGGAGTCAAAATCTTTGGTGGGCTCCGAATCTATTCCAGTTTGGTAGTTTATCAAACAACAAGAATAAAAATAACATATTTGTTGGTGAACATTACTTGCTCACATGTTATCTACCATAAATTATAGAAAGAAAAATAAATGCTCTGATGGATCATGGATGACTGGAAAATCCATTCTGGAGATAAATTATAGAAAGAAATAAACCTCACCGTATAAGTTCAGGAATTCTCATGGCACTGAAAAATAATTTGTTTTTTATTTTTTGTTTTCATAGAAAGAAAAAATAAATAAATAAAAAATATGTGAGTTTGTTGAACAGGTGAAATCGTGTGGGCCGGAATACTAGGCCGAATTTGTTAGACCAGGTCAGATGCTATGCAGATCGGTGGACCAATCCCAATTTGAGTTAAAGTATAATAAATGATAAATGCTATGAAAGGTATAATAAAGGGGTTATACTCCAAAGTTTCAAAAGATGGAAAAATAAGAAAGAAGTCTTAGCGATAATGAAAATTGAGAACACTGTTAAATATTTTAATGATGATTTTGGCCAGATTAATGTTGGAAGCTTTGCTTGTACGCAAAGGTGAGAGGATTCCGTCCTCTTCCAACTATTGTTATTTGCTAATAATGCATTTTCCATGTTCCACGAGAGAAGGTTGTTATTGTTAGCGGTTTCTTTTAATAAATTAATCAATCCAAAAAATAACAAAAAATAAATTAGAAAATTCATTTTCCACATCAAATTTTTACGAACGTTGATGTGAAAACTTTTTTGGTTACAATGAAACTGGAACATACACCGCTTTCTACTAATTACAGTCAACTAAGACACCCAAAATTTAGTATTAGTGTACCTAAGTTTGTTCCGTTTGAATGTTCTAATAATAGTTTCATATGTATATGATAGTTTTTTCGACAACATTATCTCTACAGCGCAAGAATAACAATGACAACGTCAACAATAAAGAACACTTTAATCATTGAACTCACATCACCAATGCTGTTAACATCATTTGACAGAAATAAATTTGAGATGTCAAAGTGGGGAAAAAAGTCAGAGTAAGATATCTATCTACTACTTCTAACTTAAAAACAAAATCTTAAAATGATTATTCTTACTACAGTAAATCTTTTTAAAGCCTTTATCCACTGTTCAAGCTGAATTGACTTTTTTTAACCTTAGAAAAATGTTCTTTTTTTTTTTTGCTTTTGTTCTTGTAAATGATGAATTTAACCTTTATCAGATATTTCACAGATATAAATCTTTTCTGACTCTATTATCTAAAATTGATAAAACTTGCTAATTGGTGTAATTTTTTGATTCATTGGTTTGAAAACTCATGTGGTGAAAAAATTATCGTTGAAGTTTTTATAAATAGTTATATGTAAAAATCATATTATAAATTTGATCATCTATATAACTCCATGAATAATTGAAGAGAATACAAGAAATAATGAACGGACAGATTTTGGCGATGTCCGGTCGACTGCAGCATCATGTGCGATCGACCGAAAACGTGCACGTAACCTGGGATGTCTCTGGACTTTTGGCGGTCGACCGCAGTGTCAGGTCCGGTTGACCGGCCAAACCCTATAGTGATTATTGGTTTCTGTCGTTGGATCCAGTCGACCGCACGTGTCTCTGTAGTCGACCGCGAGTCGAGCTGGGCCTGAGTTTCGGTTTCCTATTCGCTTTGGGTTTATGTTTTGATATATATTAAAACACGATTTTCTAGGGTTTATAATCAGAGATTTGAGATTGTACTGAGCATATTGAGAGGGAGAACTTGTGAGCAAGGAGAGAGATTTGGTTTAGGGTTTATTTGAGTGATTTTGTGAGATTGTAACCATTTGTACTCTCCTTGATTTAGTAGAATCTTCACATCCTCTCCCCGTGGACGTAGGCAAATTGATGAACCTCATATATCTCTGTGTTTGGTTTGATTTGTCATAAATTGGATTGAATTGTGCTCGTGTTTGGTTTGGTTTTCTTCTCCCGTGGCTCACGGACTCGTTCGGTATGTGAGCACGCTTCCGCATAGGCGCGCAACAATTAGTATCAGAGTCCAGATTTCAGATCTAGAGTTTTGACATTAGGTGGAGGAAGATTCGTCATGGAAGCTTGGTTCTTGGAGTTCTAGGCTTCGGTGGAGATAGTGTTTGGGGTTGTCGTTGAAGATTTCGCTTTCCTCGTATGGTTAGGAGATTTATTTGGAATCTGTTCTAGGGTTCAGTTGGGTAACTTCTAAATTCTATTAAGTTTGAATTTTTCTCTACAATTTGGAGTTTGTGAATATGGGTGAAGAAGTTGGTGAAAGCAGCAAGATGGCGGGTACAGTTCAAGTTGGTTTTCAGAACACTAAAATTAGTGTGGTTAAATATGACGGCAAGATCAATTTTGGATTGTGGATGAGCGATGTTCAGGATGCGCTCAATACTCAAAATTTGGAGGAGACCATCATGGTCCAAGAGAGATCACCTAAATATGAAGAGTCGGTATGGGAAAAGATAAATAGGAACGCTTGTGGGGTGATCAGGTCTTGTTCGAAACATGAGCTGAAATATAATGTGATTTGGGTGACGCCTGCAATGAAGATGTGAGAATTTCTCAACAACAAGTATCTTACGAAGAGTGTTGAGAACAGATTACACTTGCTACATAGGTTTCAGATTTCAGATGTTCAGGGGCACCTCACTAATAGTTCATGTGAACAACTACACTAAGTTGTTATCGGACTTGGCGAATGTTGATGAGAAGATATCAGATGAGTACAAGACTATTATTCTTTTGGACTCCTTACCGGATGAGGAGTATAATACCTTTGTTCTTACTTTGTTGAATAAGAGATCTTCTATCAGCTATAGTGAAGTAACTAACACTTTAACGAACCATGATTTGAGGAGGAAGGACAAGGAGACTTCACGTGCTAGTACTTCAGAAAAGGCCTTGGCGACGAGAGGTAGAAGCCCATATCCGAGAGGTGGCAATAGCGGCATGTCAAAGTCTAGAGGCCATCACCAGTTAGCAAAGAACCAATGTGCATTCTGCAAGGAGCAGGGATATTGGAAGAGAGACTGTCCAAAGCTTAAGGAGAAGAAGAATGACAAGAAAAAGGGTCAGAAGGTCAATGAGGTGAACGTTGCGAGAGGCGATAATTCAGATGATTCGAGCTTTTTTCTACTGATTACTCCGGAGGTGAACCACTTGGATGCATCAGTTTGGATATTTGATTCTGACTCTACTTATCATGTGACCCCTAGGCGAGATTGGTTTGCATCTTTTGAGAGACTCGATGGGGGTGTTGTTGTTATGAGAAATGATCAATCCTATGACATTTGTAGGATAGGTACCATGAGAATTCGGATGCATGATGGAGTAATCCGTGAATTGAAAGAGGTGAGATTTATTTCTCAGTTGAAGAAAAATCTTATCTTAATTGGAGCTTTGGAGACGAATGGATTCAAGGTGACCTTTGAGGATGCTGTAGCAAAAATTACTAAGGGATCTTTGGTGGTGATGAAGGGAGTTCACAGTCGGAACTTTTATTATCTGAAGGGGAGAACCAAGATTGGCCAGGTTGTTTCAGCTATTTCAGAGACAGACATGAGCAGACTTTAGCACTACAGGTTGGGGCACACAGGAGAGAAGTCACTGCAGGTGATGTGCAAGCAGGGAGTATTGAAGGGAGCCAAGAGTGGAAAGGTTGAGTTCTGTGAACATTGTGTACTTGGCAAGAAGACAAATGTGAAGTTCAGGACTGCCATTCATAGGACGAGGGGTATCCTGGATTACATACACACAGATGTTTGGGGTCCCATCAAGACTGCATCACTTAGTGGTCGATATTGGTTCGTCACGTTCGTTGATGACTATTCTAGACATTGTTGGGTGTACACCATGGCGAAGAAGAG